AGCTTTAAATCGTTTCAACTTGATTATAAGAGTTTGGAGATCATTTGACACACAAATTCAAATCGCAATCAAAATTCGATTAATTGCACAGCCTTAATTCTAGGTATGTTTTTGAGGAGGAGGTACATTATAATATGGCTCACAAAAGCTCACAAGTGTCTGTTTGTGTAATGTAGATTTCCCAGATGATTTTAAATGGGACTTTACTTACTGCATTGGTGCTGTTACTATTATTAACATCATAAAAAGCTCTACCCTACAAATAGAATATAACCTCATTAGTTGGGCTATTTGAGCCTGAGATTTGCATTTGAATAATGGACGAAGCCCTGAATAGAAGCACGTCCCTGGTCCGGTAACACTTAGCTGCAGACATGAGTGCCTCTATGTTTTAAGTGTTCTCGTTTTTGTTTCCAAACTGCTCAGAGGAGGTGTGATCACTATGAAAAGTGCCCTCCAGTGAGACCCTTTCTTTCCATCTCTGTTTTTAAATCATTGTCTTTCAAAACTGCCTCTGCTCTCCTCCATCCACACTGACTTTTTCAGACAGCAGTCCACATTGTGTGCAAGCATACAAGTGGTTCAATACTCTTTTATCTATAGTGAGTCATGCCACAGTAATAATAGACTGGGGAGGTGCACCAAAGGAGATAGAGATGTGTAATTAGTCAGTCTGCTCTGGCCTTAGATGGGGCAAGTGGAGCCAGGAATTGCTTCTTCTTCATTTGAACAATGGTTATGTTTTCATGCACACCCAAGACTGATCATTATCTGATTTCAGGAGTTATCAGATTACTGAAATGTCAAGTAAACAATTCCATCTGATGTGAGTGATGAGAGTTTGTTTATTAACACCTGTGCATATTTTGGCAAGGGACATTATGTTCAATTTTCTCTTAGGCCTGTAAACAGATAAAAAAAAATCAGACTTCATTATGGGGTTATCTGATTATTCTAGTTGTCAGGTTTTTATTGGCTATATAAATGCATCCTGCTGTTGAGGTCTTTTGGAAATGTTATTGCTTTGTCTTGAATGTTTCATAGTTTGGTAACCTTTCTATCTTCATGGAGACCAAACCAGACCAAGTTGCAAGTCAGATCTGTGGAGAGGCGACCCCACACACAATCAAAATATATGTTATTGTAGGTATTTTTGATCTATAAAACTATCTAAAATTTTAAAAATGTAAGGTTGCACTGTTTAATGTTATATTTTGTAATATTCCAGGCAGAACAATGACATCTCCACAATAAACAAGCAGGTGGTGGACACCCAACCAAAAAGTTCCATAGTGCACCTTTAATCACACTTTTTTGGTACTAAACTATGCATATGGTATTAGAAGAGTATTGTCTACTGTTTCAAGTCCCTTTTGGCAATTTTGGAACAAACTAGTTAGTATTTGCAGCTGCTTTGTGGTAAAAAAAAAAAAAAAAAAGTATAAAAATAGGTCTGTCCTTGCTCCAGTGGCCTCTGCCAATTTCAGGTATTTGGTGACATTTCGTGACAAGAAACAAACAGCTTTAGTTGTCATTATAGTACATGGTTAATAACTACCTAGATGGAAAGATGGGAGGTAAACTAGAGGAAAACTATTTATGGTTTTAAGGAAACATTTTGAGGATAAAAAAGGTTTCAAAAGAAGCGCTTTCTGGACCTCCAGAGGATAATACACAGTAGATAAAACTCAGTGGTGCTCTTTGGGAAGGGAAGTCAGTTAAAAGATGACAAAAAACCCAAGGCACTCACTGGTTAAAATAAAATGCCTTTATTAATTTATGACATGTGTAAATTAATAAAGGCATTTTATTTTGAACCAGTGAGTGCCTTGTTTTTTTTTTTTTTTGGCATCTTTAAACATTTTGAGGACTTTCAAAGGTCGTTAAAGGTTAATTTGCTATTTTCTGATCTATGTTATAATGTTGATTCCTCATCACAAATATACCTGGAGTTTATTACACAAACCATGCATATATAGACTTGAGTTCTTCTCTCAGACAGAAAACACTCTGTTCCACCTTGTGATGTCATGTTGTACAGGACGGGCTCCACTGTGTTTTTAAACTCCATACACCTACCCTAGAATCATTTGGATAATATGAGCTCTGGAATTGCAAATCTCTACTGATCAAAAGGTAAAAGGTAACTTGAAAACTACCACTTTATGACATCACAAGTTGGAATAGAGCATTTTAAGATATGGAGATGCATGTGTGAATGAAACAAAACACAACTCCAGGTATGTTTTTGATTAGGTAACAACATTATTACATAGCTTAAAGTTCACAAGAGTCCATTTCGAGTCCAAAATAGGAATTTAATTGCTATGGGAACAAACTGTGCTAATTTATCATCATCCTGAAACCCACGGCAGACAGGGGAAAGCACTGCACTGGTGCACAGTATTCAGATGCATAGCTTGAGGACAGTTGGTAATACATTATAGTGAGTGATGCTGTTCCCGTCTGTCTGATGGATATACTTCTTCTCGCACTGATTGTCTCTGACTTAGAAGGTGACCAGGAGAGATGTTTTTAAAAGGGTCAAAGCTCTCGGCAGCTCAATACTTTAATGCTTTTCCGTAAAGGACGCGTCAAGTAATGCGTTACTTCTTCTACCACAGACCGGAGTACTACGAGCCCCAAATAGAGTGCAGTCACCAGGACTACACCATACACCCCTTATATGATACATTAGCTGTCAGTAAGCTCTCACTATAATGGACCACAGGCTATTTTCTGCACATGCTTTTCCTCCCAGCATACTCCGCCAGTATTATTGAAGGTGTTACTGGATAGACACAGAAAATATCGCGGCGGTGTTGGGGTACCAGTCCATTCGTACATACTCTGGATTTGATGGTATAACGTTAGGCAAGACAAAAGAATCACGGATTACAGCTGAGAAGGAGAGTGCCCCGGAGAGAAGAAAGAGGGATTGCTTGTCAGAGATAGAAACGAGAGAAGCAAGAAGGCGCAAGACATTGGAAATATAAAATAAAACTGAGGCAAAACAAAGGCAGAGATGGAAGAGGAAGTGAAGGGATGGGAAGAGGAGGAGGAGGAGGGGATGGCAAACGGATGGAGACAGGGGATTAGGGAAAATGGCAAAGCTATTGGGAAAAGAAGATAGAGCCATGTGGAGGATGAGTGTGGGGCGACAAGGATCCAGAGGGAGCACTGGCAGGAAAAGAGGCTCTGGATGGGGTCATGAGTGCAGCGGAGAAAGCATGAAGAGTGTGGGGAGTGACCGGGTATTTATAACATTCTGCGGACTGAAATCATTATACACAGTCAAATCATGGGGAAGTACCTCCTTTATGGGGACAAATATTAGGTCCCCATGACACACTGTTTATTAAAGGGCCAATATTCTGTATTTTCTTTATAAATTTAAAGAGACTAATAATAACGGATTACTCAAACGTGTGAATGAAATAAAACGTCTCTTGATGAGGTAACAACATTATAACATGGCTTAAAATTTGTGCATCATTCGTTCATTCATTTTTCAAAATAAAACCAAAAATAAGAAAATGAAAAAAAATTTAAAAATGGATAACGATTCTTTTTTTCAGTTTTTGATTTTGTGTTTAAATGAATAATGGAAAAAACGGATAATGGCCGTTTCCCATTTACGTGACTTAAACTGCGAACCAGGACAAAAACAGGACTAAACTGGTCTGAGTCCAGGTCCCAATCCTGGTCCCAGTCTGGTCTCGGTCCTGGTCTCAGTCTTGGTCTGGTCCCGGTCTCAGTCCTGATCACCCGACAGTCTACGCGGGCGCAACTTCGGGCCTGTCCCAACACTCTGTCCTGGTTCAGTCTTGGTTTAGACCTGGTTTAGTCCGTATGTGGCGCAAAAGTCCGGCATCGTGGTTTAAGTCATGGAAACGGCTGTTAACCGTTTTTTCAATTCTTCATTTAAACACAAAATCAAAAACTGAAAAAACTAATTGTCATCTGTTTTTTTCATTTTGGTTTTGGAGACAAATAATGGTTTTATTTTGAAAAATGAATGAATGAATGATACACAGATTCTTAAAGCTCACAAGAGTCAATTTACACAGGACCTTTCTTAGATTGAAACATGATTTTGGTATGGGTTGAAATAGGTTACGGTTAAGGTTAGGGTTTTGGTGAAGGTGACAAGTAGTGACTATGGATAAAGTTAAGATCAGTCGTGTGTGCCTGTGCGCGTGTGTGTGTATGTGTGTGTTTGTCAAATTTGGATGACAGGATGTATGATGTCCCAGAACACGTAAAAAGTGAGACATGAGGCTGTTTTCATACTTAAAAAAAGGTTTTGGGTTAAAATTATATTTTGTACATATAGTATGTAATTTATTTTATTTTATTTAGTTTATTTTTAAGTTCCGTGATCAGTGTCCATAACGAACCACATCATTTGTGAGTTAATTTAAGTTTTTCTTCCAACTCCTTTTCAGAAAATGTGCTTTTCAGTTGTCTACAGTGTATATGTAGCATGCATGATTATTGTTTCTCTCTTGGCACAAACTCAAAATAAAAACAAATCAATAAATAATTTCACTGATTTTATTCAAATGCTATTGTTATTTTATTGAAAACTAAGAATTCAAGAAAAAAATACAAATGTAAAAGAGATTACATCATGATTTATACTTTTAGGTTTTAAAAAGAAAGATTTCACATTTTAAAGATTGTTTTGACCATCAGCTTTATTCAGCTTTATTAGGACATATATAAGGGGTAAAGAGCAGCGAGAAACATTCAACAAACTGGTTTCATGAAGCAGAGAGCAGCACAGAGCCTAAACCCCAAGGACAGAATTGTTTAACATTTTCCAGATATTTCGTGTTGCAACCAGGTAAATATTTGCATTTTCAAATCCATTAAAGTTGGTTGAAATCGTCATTGAGTAAGCCCCAATATTGTGAGCGAGAATCCACTCCCCGACCTGGAGCTCTGGCATCTGCATCTTACAGATTCTGTCGTTACTGTCACAGGACGGACCCCAGATAATAGACTGGTACAGGGGCTCACTGCTGTCCACTGGCTGTAGGAAGATTTGAAAAATATTTAGTTGCACTTTAATGACAAACATTTCATATAAAATAAAACAGTATACCCCTTTACCCTGTGGGGGCGCAGGTCATAAGGTCTTATCTCAAGGTAGAACCTGTTGTCCGCAAATGAACCATAAACCCCATCTGTTACGTAATACATCATCAATTTGTTTAAGCCATTCCCATCTGTAAACACAAGCATTTAAAACATGTAGCACTCTTTGTTGTGTTTGGTTTATTACTGTAGTTAGGCTTGTCACAATAACTACAATAGCGACTCATTCAGTATATGATAGCTGGAACAATATATTTTGGGGTATTTTTGTTGTAACTCAATAAAATTTGAGCTGTAATAACTTTTAAAGCTAATTATTATCAATTAATTTAGCTAGTTACTTGTAGCTCAAGCCTTTTAATGATAGTGTCTATTTAAAAATGGTTTCCTGGGATTATCCTGTGTTTTTGCTATTGTGTCTGAGGCATAAAGCAGCTTCAGTGTTATTGTTTGCCCCTTTATGTTTCTGTAGATATATTTCGTGCTTCAATATTTGTAATTGTGACAGGCATAACTGTAGCTCATTACGACTAGACTGCGTAGATTCTTGGTTAAAGATCTTCAAATGTACCTTTGCTGCTGATCATTGGATCACCCTGAACTTGTCTTTTGGCAAAGACATTCATAGCGAGTGTAAAAGCAGACTCCACAAAGTAGCGTCCAGGTTCGGCGATGATTCTCACTCCACAGTCAGCAGGAAAGAACTCATCCAGTGCCTCATTTATTCCTTTTGACACCTACAATGTTTTCAACAGTACAATTAACAGGGGTAAACCCTTCAACAGATGACTATTCAGATATGCAATAATACAGTTCACAACAAAAGCCAAAAACAAATGTGTCCTATTGTTATATTTAGTAATAAAGTCAACTTATTTTGTTCTCCTAGATTTCACATCTGTAGTTACCTGTAATAACTAACCTGCGTCAATGACCCATACCCTTGTGGTGTTTCATACCATTTGAAATTCTTCATCTCCATAGAATCCTCCACCTATGTTCAGAATTTTCATCTGAAATCCACTCAGATTCTAAAAAGATGTAATTGAAGTATAATGTATTGTACTTTTGAGAAATGGCAAAAAATAAAGAAATTAATTGACATATTTATTGTTGCAGATACAGATTGAGGGAGCTTACAGCTTGGTCAAAGACGTGTCTGGCGTCTGCTATGGCCTTCTTATAGGCAGTGTTGTCAGTGCACAGACACCCCACATGGAAACTGACTCCAATGATGTTCAAGTGCAGCTCCTGAGCTCTCAGCAGTAGGACGCCCACAGTCTGGAGTTTGGCTCCAAACTTTGTGCTCAGTTTTAACAGTGACTTGGAGTCATCCACTGCAATACGCAACAATAGCCTGGTAAAAAATAAACAAAAAATAATCATTATAATTTTATTGCAAAGAAGGGGAGAAAATAAAATAGATATAAGACGTGTTACTTTGATGTGGGATGATATTTGGAGATCTTGAGGAGCTCTTCCTCATTGTCAAACGTCATCATGTCCACTCCATGAGCACAAGCGTACCTGATGTGGGCCTGGGGTTTTGTTGTATGTGCGTAAATGATTCTATCTGGTGTCACTCCAGAAGACAGGACCATCTCTATCTCCCTCTGTCACAGATCAGAAGTGTATGTGTACAGTAAGAACAGTAAGGGGGCAGTATGGACTGCTGCTCTTTGATTTGAACTCACTTTGCTAGCACAGTCAAACCCTGTTCCCAGAGCACCAAGCAGCTGAAGCACGGCCGCTGTGTTGTTACACTTGACAGCATAGAAAGGGGTCACTCTGGGCAGAAGAGTCTGCCATCTCTGGAGGTTTTCAAAAACTATGTCCAGATTTGCTACATAAAAAGGAATTTCACTGCCCTTGAAAATAAAATAAATGCAAATATTATTTTGAACGTTTTTACTGTTCATATGCCATTTGCAGAATGGATAAATACATCATGCAGTTTATTTATCTTTAATTCCCCTAAGATTTGAAATCTTATTTTCAGGGGAATCCTTTCCCAAGTGGGGAGCATGTCTAATGAATAATAATGGAGTATAATATGATAGAGCAAAACATATTCATATTAGATATAAGGTAAAAAGTCACAATATGAAAAGCGTTATAGTAGAGAAGCATGAGAACAGAAGGCTCTGTCCAAGCACTACTGAAAATTAATAGGAGGGACAAATGTTAAAACTATGGAAAATGTAGGTAAAGCTTTACATACCAATAAGTTGTGATCGTTGATTTTGTTATCAATAAAAGATTCAACTTCTTTGCTGCTATCCAATATCCCAATGCCAGAGATTTCCATAGTGTGCAGATCTCTACAAACATTAAGTAGGAATAGTGAAAGACTAAATTATGGTGTGGAATTTCTCATCCCCTGCATAGTCATAACAAGGACACCATCAGTTCTTTCAGTGTTGACATTCCTATGTGCTCATACAGAATTTGATTTATACAGGATTTCGTCCCTCCCATGCGTTTCCTTGGTTAACTCACTTGACAGAAGCCATATGCTATTCACTTGTCTCCAGGCTGGTCTTCTTACTATTTAAACCTCCTTGTGTGGAAGCATATGCAAACTTGATATCTACTACCATGATGCATTGACACATTTGTTTGAACCTCATTGGACTTTGTGACAATAATATCAAAGGAGGTATTATGCTAAATCAATTGTTTATCTTTCTGCCACGTTATAATGTTCCCTCATCAAAAAACATGTTTTGCTGAATCATTTGTGCAAGAGTAATCTTATGATCTCTCACAATATTTGACCTAGGGCTGTGCAAAAAATCTTTGGTCTATCTCGACTCTAAGGCATGCGCATTTTAATCGTCTAGTCTACAGCCAAACGTGTGGTAGTAAGTGTGCGTGGTGAGGACGAGATCAATGCTGTTTTGTTTAGGAAAAAGCAGCTGAGCCACAGTGTGTCTCTTCGTGTCTCCTTATATCTTCTCACGTGTCTTCACATTTCACAAGTTTTTACTTAAATCTGCACAATTTGGGTAAAAGTCTATTATCTCTCTCCCTCTGCCGCTCCCCCGTCGCTCTGTCCCTCCCTGATCCAGGCACAGCTCCTCATTTTTTCGCCTCTTTCACTCCTCTAATGCTTCTTATCATTATAATGCAAGTTACAGAAAATAAAGAACTGTTTTATCACCATTTATGAGTGAAACTTAAGACTTCATTTAGCGCTCGGACATGGCACGTGTTTCTGTTGATAGCTGTAGCGAGCGCATGCACCTGTGTCTGCCGCTAATGGTAGTGCACACATGCTTTTAGGCTTAATATATTATACAAGCTCATTCCAAACTTTAACTATGAATTTCTTCTTCTATTGTTTCTAGCTACATGAAATAAAAACTGCAGTGATCCTGACACCCTGTTCTTTATGCCTGAAGTCTATATGGCTGTGTTTTTAATAAGATGGATGGAGATTGAATAAAAAATCAAGATCGATCAGTATGGGGGAAAGAAAAATCTTGAGTCTTTTCTTTCCCATATCGCCCAGCCCTAATTTGAACCCTCCTTTATTATCCCCTTTTCAACAGCTGAAATAAGTTTACCTATAACATTTTTCTAAATGTCTGATAATATATTATGAAGTCTTAAAGAGATAGTTCAGATTTTTTGACATTAATCTGTATGGCATCCCCGTGAGCAGTGTCGAGCATCCACACTGACTTACCCCCGAAAGCGTCCGGTGAGCCGAGATACTGGCCGTTTTCGGTGCTGATGAAAGTATTCCGGCAAGTTGGCTGGGACATTAAAATAAAGCGTTTTTCTTCTCAAAAAAATATGTGTTCAAAAGAGTGATATGTTTGCATCACAAAACCATCGTCCTCTAAAAAGTCAGACCTCATAATCGCTTGGCACTGTTTTCTCTTCGTTCGTATCACTGCGCAGTGCCGCCAGGTGGACTACTTTCGTCAGCACCGAAAACAACCAGTATCTCGGCTCACCGGACGCTTTTGGGGGTAAGTCAGTGTGGATGCACGACACTGCTCACGGGGATGTCATACAGATTCATGTAAAAATCCAAACTCTCCCTTTAAGTCCTGATATTATATTCACATGCTCTTTTTGTGAATTTTTTATCCATAAACACACATTATTTTACAAAGTTTTACATATAAAATAGCCAATGGATAATATTGTATTGTGTTTTGAAATACACTGAATGGCACCACTGAGCTGTGCACAAGTAGCACAGTACCACAGAACACAACAATAACCACAACTGGGTGAATATAGGTCAAGAACGCCGAAGCCTCTTGTTACTCACCAGTTTGTCAAAGGAACAATTTTTTCCCTGGTTCCACTGTGCGCTCTTCTAACAGCTCTAACCATCTCCAGGTTCAGGTTGGAGGAAATATAAGATGGGAATTGAGGTTATCGGAGCTGTATAGAAGAATGCCAAAGGACGCTGGGGAAAACAGAGCAAAGGCAGGAGTGAGCGGATTGAAGTACAGCCAGAGCAGGAAGGTAGCAACAAGGAGACAAAGGAGGCAAAGAAGGATGAGAGGAGCTAACAAGGACAGAAGCACAGTTGGGTATTGCCGGAGAGCCAGGGCATGAAACAAGGTCCCAGATTAGAGCTGCTACATTTCTTTTACTCTTGTTGGTTGAACATATTTCATCTGGTTTATCTGATATTTACACTCACGCCTTCAAAGAAAATCCAGTTTCAAGATTTTAAAGGTCAACCAAGTAACTTTTTTGGTCTCTTTGATGTTTTTGTATTTGCAGAAATGTTCCACAGTATGGCATTAAACATATCTTTGTTTGATCTATTAATTTACAGGTGATTTTCACCCTGTAAATTGGCGTCTAGTCTGGAATGGATTTTTTTGACATAGAAAAGTTTTATGCCATACTGTGGAGCATTCAAGGAAGCAGTTCGATCTAGAAAAGTTACACACATAATTATATCACTGCTAATTGTGGCCATTATAATATACATTTCAATGAATAATGAGTAAACAAAATGTGAATAATTTGGCATTTTAAATTTTATATTCAAGTTAAACAAGGCAAGGCAAGTTTATTTGTATAGCACAATTCATACACAAAGTAATTCAAAATGCTTTACAGAATAAAAAAAAAACATTCAAATCACAATAAAAACAAATCAAAACATAAATAATCATCATAAAATTAAAAATTCAAATAAAAAAAATTCAAAAGAGAGAGACATTAATTACATAAATTAGAGTAATTCATGTTTTTCTGAGTTGTATACTTCAGCTTCCTGTTGTAGGTAAAATTTTCAGGACTTCATCATTTAAAAGACAGAATGTTTTTAATTGCTATGGCAACGATCCTAGTTTTTCATCATTCTGAATCTGAACCCCATGGATAAAGTTAACCTGATCCTGACCCTTCCCCGTTCTCCCGCTCCATCTGCTATTCCCTCATGTCATCTCCCTTTCCCGTTTCGCCTCCTCGCGCATGGCCGTCCTGTCTGCCCTCATCACTCTCTAACCGCTGTGTTTTGGTATCCGTCTGGCAACTTTTAGTCCTTTTTTTTTAACAGGAAGTAATGTTATATTTAGAAGTTATGGTGTTTTTGTCTTCGGCGTTACGTCGCTGCAAAGTATCAATCAGTGGGAAGTGCCAAATTCTTTTATCCAATTTAAAAATGCACAAAACCACATAATCAACCATTTGTTTTTCATCTTGCAATTGCCTTTTTATAAAACCATGAGTGAAATTAGTGCTCCAAATCCAAAACAGATGCCAAAAAGTCAACTCACAACTCTCAACACACATATTTCTACCTCTCTTTCTCCTCCTTTCACACCACAACAATGTAACAAAAGCCTAAAAGTAGTTCTTACAATACAATGGCGCAAAGCATATAATATGTGGCCTAGAACAGTCCTTACCAGTGAAAATGTATTATGTAAAATCCATAATGCATGTTGATTTACAGTTCTAAATGTGTGTTTCTTAATCCTTTGCTTTGTATGCACCTGGCTGTGTACGTATATGAGGCATAAAGCAGTATTGTTCCCTTGTAGACTCGCGCACACGATGTATAAATTCACAGTGTATTCCAGAGGGATGCTTTTCAAGTGATGTTTTATAGAAGCTAGCCTAGTTCCTGAAAGCCCTGTCTTCTACTCATCCGGTCTGGAGGGAAACGGCTCACGAATACCAAGCACTCAGGATATTTTTATATGCATTTTATCCAAATAGGAACACGCTTAAAGGGCTCATATCGCACTGTCTTCTCATCTATGTTCTAATGTTGTTTCCTCATCACAAACATACCTGGAGTAGTTTTTTTTTTTTGTTTCATTCACACATTTTATCACACAAAACCTGCATATTTAGGCATTTTTTGTCTCAAGCTTAAAACACTGTTTTACCTTGGCAAAAGGAGACATTTAATTTGTCAACTGGGCAAAAGTTTATTTGGTCGAATAAGTTTCGCAGCTCATCAGATGCTGGTGGACACTTCCTTATATCTGTCTGAAGGGAGGAGCTAACTGCA